CAGAATTGGACGCAATATTCAGATGTGGTCTAACCAAAGCAGAATAGAGGGTAGCATTACTTCCTTAGATCTAGACACTATGCTCCTATTGATGCAGGCCAAAATTCCATTGGCTTTTTTTTTGCCGCCACATGATATTGTTGGCTCATGTTTAACTTGTTGTCCACGAGGACTCCAAGATCTTTTTCACACGTACTGCTCTCGAGCCAGGCATTGTCCCCCATTCTGTATCTTTGCATTTCGTTTTTCCTGCCAAAGTGGAGTATCTTGCATTTGTCACTATTGAACTTCATTTTGTTAGTTTTGGCCCATCTCTCTAATCTGTCAAGATCGTTTTGAATCCTGCTCCTGTCCTCTGGAGTATTGGCTATCCCTCCCAATTTGGTGTCGTCTGCAAACTTGATGATCCTGCCTTCTACCCTTCATCTAAGTCATTAATAAAGATGTTGAACAGGACCGGGCCCAGGACGGAACCCTGCGGCACTCCACTCGTCACTTCTTTCCAGGATGAAGAGGAAGCATTGGGGAGAATCACCCTCTGGGTTCGTCCATTTAACCAATTACAGATCCACCTCACCGTAGTTTTGCCTAGCCCACATTGGACTAGTTTCCTTGCCAGAAGGTCATGGGGGACCTTGTCGAAGGCCTTACTGAAATCCAGGTACGCTACATCCACGGCATTCCCCGCATCTACCCAGCTTGTAACTCTATCGAAAAAGAGATCAGATGAGTCTGGCATGACTTGTTTTTGATAAATCCATGTTGACTATTAGCGATGACCGCATTTGTTTCTAAGTGTTTGCAGACCGCTTCCTTAACAATCTTTTCCAGAATCTTGCCTGGTATCGACGTGAGGCTGACCGGACGGTAGTTGTTTGGGTCATCCTTTTTTCCCTTCTTGAAGATTGGGACCACATTGGCCCTCTTCCAATCTGCTGGAACTTCTCCTGTTCTCCAAGAACTCTCAAAGATGGTTGCCAATGGTTCCGAAATGACTTCCGCTAGTTCCTTCAATACTCTTGGGTGTAGTTGATCTGGCCCTGAGGACTTGAACTCATTTAGAGTGGCCAGGTATTCCTGGACAACTTGTTTCCCAATTTGGGGTTGGATGTCCTCTAATCCCTCATCCACTCCATCTTGCTGAGGTTGAAGATGACTTTCTTTTTGTGAGAAGACCGAGGCAAAGAAGGCATTAAGTAGTTCTGCCTTTTCCCTATCATCCCCTGTCAGCATTGCCCCATCTTCTCCTCGAAGAGGCCCTATCGCCTCCTTGTTTTTCCTTTTTCTACTGACATAAGAAAAGAATCCCTTTTTATTGTTTTTAATGTCCCTGGCAAGCCTGAGCTCGTTTTGTGCTTTAGCCTTGTCCACGCATGGGGAGCTGGAGCTGACAGAGGGAGCTCATCCACGCTGTCCCCGGATTCAAACCTCGGAGCTGTCAGTCTTCAGTCCTGCCAGCACAAGGGTTTCATCTCCACCTGGGACTCCATCTTGATGGTGGACACACCAAATTAGCAGAGGACAAAAGTGAGTTCAGTTGGCAGCAGGAAATGAAATAGGTTCCTCATTCCAATGCTACGGGAGAATGACTGTTTTTACTGTGTTTTGCAAAACAAAGCGCAGGTCCTTAAGGCATGATGCAAGAAGACTTGTAAAAATAAAATAAAATGGTATTCAAATCTTTCTCCTTGTGCTTCCTCTGACTTGCTTCTGGGAGTCATTTCTTAGATCATTTTTGCTGCTTCAGCAAGAGCAAGAGGTAGGAGGGGAGAAATCATTTTTTAAAAAGAAAAAAAATCTTCACGGTTCAAAAGTTTTGTACCTGAGGGAGAAATTCAGACCGCTCTGCATGTCTGACAATGCTTGCCTTTAAACAAAATAGAGTTTTGTGGGGTGGGGGTGGGAGGAGAACTCTCTGCTGACGTTGTAAGACACTCAAGCACAATTTCACAGAAGTATCATCAAAAGTGGAAATAAAATTTCATCATTTTCATTATATTAATGTCCTCTTCCATCCCTATGTAGCTCTCTGGCCGCTAAAGATGGAGGGCAGCTTCAGTTTGGGAACTAAACACTTGCGTTTCTCCTCCACAACCTGGAAAGGATTATGGGATCATCCTTCTTCCAATGTTGGCATGTTGCAAAGGGAAACTTTGCAGCCATTGCTGCAACAATGACCCATTTTCCTTTGACATAATACCTTCCAAGTGTCCTGATTTGGCAGGTATGCTGGTACGGCTGTACCAGGAGCTCCAACTTTATTTTCTTTCTGTTATCTGTTTGCAGTCATAGGGTAGGCCACCTGTCCATCATAATTAAGCTTTGGTTCCACCCCTTGTTCAGGGCTCTGGGAGGGAAAGGAGCCATTTATTGGGCAGTCTCACATAAGGAAGATAAACTACAGGATGTAGACCAGCTCGTCCCGTAGAAAAGCTTCTTTTCTCCAGAACATCCAGGGAAACAGAAACAGAAATTCCAGGGAAAAGGTCCCAAGGCTCTGGCTGAGAGCGCACAGCCTCACAGCCTCACAGCAATCAGAGGGAAAACAGCCCTGAAGTTTTCAAAGAATTCTCTGAGGGAGGACAGCACTACAGATCCATGGAACTCCATCTGACTTACTTGACTTACTTCAATTGCTCCAACCTGAATTCAAAGTTCAGATATGGTTTCTATTCCATTAACTAAACAGGGGAGGAGGAGAAGTAATCTTGCCCTTTCAAAAGGCAAGTGCAAACTGCTGCAGCCTGTCCTAGCTTGTGCTCTTCCTCATTAATAATGATTGACCAGGCTCGGATGTAGCTTGGCTGCAAGTGCCCTGATTTCCATCTGTGAAATATTGGAGGGTATGCGAATTTTCTGTGTTGCCTCACAGGTATAAACACAACTCTTTGTAAATAAATTGCTTGCTTGTATGTGCTCTGCTTGAGCAGAACTATTTAATCCATTTCCTTCTGAAGCTGGAGCACATATACTTCAGATTGGCCAGAGAAAAGAAAGACGCTCTCTGTTGGGAGCTACAGAAGGGAGGCTTGCAAAGCACTGCGGGCGGCTGTCACTCAGAATGATGATCCATAGCTTGTCTGTCTCTTTAATTAATTAAACCAATGCTCAATGCATCCCATCGCTTCCATTGCCACAACTGAGCTTGGCAGCTGCTGTTTTGATGATGCTCTGATCCTTGTCAGATTCCCAGCAGATAATAAGATAATCTTTTTGAGGGACTTCAGACATTTTTGTCTTGGAGGAGAAGTAGGAAACAGGAGTGGCGTGTGCTTCCATTTCCTTGTGTGCATTTGTAGTTATGCAGAACAGAGCATCAACTCCATGGCGGGATGCACAAATTGGCTCCTAGATGGTAGAACATGGTGCAAGATTTGAATAGAAGGTAACACACACACATAGGAAATCCAGATATCAAGGCAGTTAATCCACAATGTCTGGTTTGAACTGGGTTATCTGAGTCCACACTGCCATATAATCCAGTGGATTTTATACATCTGTGTGGAAGGGCCTTGCTGTTGTAGATACACTTCATTCAGGTTTAGTAGGATTTCATATGTCCTTGCTTTGTGAATTAGCCACAGAAGATGGTAAAACAGGATTGTTTCTATGACAAACTTTGCTATAGTTTAGGGAACCATGGCTAGTGAAATGTTTTATGTTTATAATCCAGGATCAAACCATGATTTCAGAACCTTATTTGTCCCCAACGAGCTAAGCAGATCCACATGCCTTGCCACACAGACGCCTCAGAAAGCTAGTGTTACTTTGTGAACTTGAATAGTAGTAAAGTTTATTGATTAGTCCACTGACCATATCAACAGTAACAGACAAAAATGAGAAAATACACAGGGTTGTTGTAGGTTTTTTTTTTTTGGGCTATATGGCCATGTTCTAGAGGCATTTCTCCTGATGTTTCGCCTGCATCTATGGCAAGCTTCCTCAGAGGTCTGCTGGAGCTGGGAAAAAGGGGTTTATATATCTGTGGAATGACCAGGGTGAGACAAAGGACTCTTGTCTGCTGGAGCTAGGTGTGAATGTTTCAACTGACCACCTTGATTAGCATACAATGGCCTGACTGTGCCTGGGGCAAACTTTTGTTGAGAGGTAATTAGATGTCCCTGCCTGCTTCCTCTCCGTTGTTGTGCTGTTGCAATTTTAGAGTTTTTAATACTGGTAGCCAGATTTTGTTCATTTTCATGGTTTCCTCCTTTCTGTTGAAATTGTCCACATGCTTGTGGATTTCACTGGCTTCTCTGTGTAGTCTGACATGGTGGTTGTGAGAGTGGTCCAGCATTTCTGTGTTCTCAAATAATATGCTGTGTCCAGGTTGGTTCATCAGGTGCTCTGCTATGGCTGACTTCTCTGGTTGAAGTAGTCTGCAGTGCCTTTCATGTTCCTTGATTCGTGTTTGGGCAATGCTGCGTTTGGTGGTCCCTATGTAGACTTGTCACATCTAATCACCTCTCAAAAAAAGATTGCTCCAGGCACTGCCAGGCAATAAAATGCTAATCAAGGTGGTCAGTTGAAACATTCACACCTAGCTCCAGCAGACAAGAGTCCTTTGTCCCACCCTGGTCATTCCACAGATATATAAACCCATTTTCCTTCCAGCAGACCTCACTACCTCTGAGGATGCTTGCCATAGATGCAGGCGAAACGTCAGAGAAATGCCTCTAGAACATGGCCATATAGCCCGAAAAAACCTACAACAACCCAGTGATATATTTTTGCATATTTTCTTATAGATATTGTTCTTGTTTATGGCAAAGCAGTAGATGGCTATAAAAAGATGAGAGGAGCAACTATTTTCCTGTGACGAAACTGAACCAAACCATCAAAAAAGAGTAGTTTTTCATTTAGCTCTTCTTTTTCTTGATTGTGTCATAATCAATGATTTTTTTTCAAAGGAAACCAACTACTGTGGGTCAATTATGTGGGATGTACACTTTTTTGAACACTTCCTTGTTGTGACGTTGGTCCTTTCCTCCTCCTTGCAGCTCACATGGAGTCTCCCTTCTATGAGGAATGGTGGTTCCTCCTGGTCATGGCGCTCTGCAGCCTCATTCTCGTCCTGCTGGTGGTGTTTGTGCTGATCTTGCATGGCCAAACCAAGAAATACCGGAATTGCAACCCAGGTGAGAGCGACTCTCTGTCATACATTCTACGCTCCTTCTGCCTGTCGTTTAAATAAAGAGGTCTGAAGGGAATACTGTGTGATAAAATCGGCTAAGAGAGCCTGCATGATGTAGAGCCAGCTTGTCCACCTTCACCCAGTGGATATGGCAAAGACAAGGCAGCATAATAAATAACCTTACTGCTGCATCCTTGGAGATAGAATCAAAGAATCATAGAATCAAAGAGTTGGAAGAGACCTCCTGGGCCATCCAGTCCAACCCCATTCTGCCAAGAAGCAGGAATATTGCATTCAAATCACCCCTGACAGATGGCCATCCAGCCTCTGTTTTAAAAGCTTCCAAAGAAGGAGCCTCCACCACACTCCGGGGCAGAGAGTTCCACTGCTGAACGGCTCTCACAGTCAGGAAGTTCTTCCTCATGTTCAGATGGAATCTCCTCTCTTGTAGTTTGAAGCCATTGTTCTGCATCCTAGTCTCCAAGGAAGCAGAAAACAAGCTTGCTCCCTCCTCCTCCCTGTGGCTTCCTCTCACATATTTATACATGGCTATCATATCTCCTCTCAGCCTTCTCTTCTTCAGGTTAAACATACCCAGCTCCTTAAGCCGCTCCTCATAGAGCTTGTTCTCCAGACCCTTGATCATTTTAGTCATCCTCCTCTGGACACATTCCAGCTTCTGTTTCTCCTGAATTGTGGTGCCCAGAATTGGACACAATATTCCAGGTGTGGTCTAACCAAAGCAGAATAGAGCATGGGGAGCATGACTTCCCTAGATCTAGACACTAGGCTCCTATTGATGCAGGCCAAAATCCCATTGGCTTTTTTTGCCGCCACATCACATTGTTGGCTCATGTTTAACTTGTTGTCCACGAGGACTCCAAGATTTTTTTCACACGTACTGCTCTCAAGCCAGGCATTGTCCCCCATTCTGTATCTTTGCATTATGTTTTTTCTGCCAAAGTGGAGTATCTTGCATTGTCAGCCATTGAGTGTCATCAATAGAGTGCCAATCCAACTATTCTTCTATGTCATTGGTTGTGCCGAGCTACTTCCTGCCTGGGGGTTGCATGGCATTAGCACAGCCTGCCTCCACAAGTGAATATTTATGCCATGCTGATTTTGGAAGACCACGGGTCACATCACCTTTTGGAAAATGGCGTTCATAACCTTTTGGGAAAACCAGGAATCTTTTGGAAAGGCATGACCTTCTTAGAGATTGTAACCTTTTTGTAACTAATGATCTTCCTGAGAAGAGTTAAAAACTTGCTTGAGTCAACTTTCTCCTTAGTGGTAAATATATCCACTAATATTCATGCAAAGCAATTAGGTTTCTCAGCTGTTAAACTGATATCTTGGGTAAAAAGATAAAAGTTTTCCCCTGACATTAGGTCCAGTCGTGTCCAACTCTGGGGGTTGGTGCTCATCTCCATTTCTAAACTGAAGAGCCTGGTTGTCCGTAGACACCTCCAAGGTCATGTGGCCAGCATGACTGCATGGAGCGCTGTTACCTTCCCACCAGAGCAGTACCTATTGATCTACTCACATTTGCATGTTTTCAAACTGCTAGCTTGGCAGAAGCTGGGGCTAGCAGCGGGAGCTCACGCCAGTCCCCAGATTTGAACTTGCGACCTTTGGGTCAACAAGCTCAGCAGCTCAGTGCTTTAACCCACTGCGCTATTGGGGGCTCCTTAGGTACAGTTACCCACACCCAAAAGCACCATCTGAGGAGGAGGAGGAGGAGGAGGTGACGAAGAAGAAGACAACGAAGGAGAAGAAGAAGAGGAAGAAGAAGAAGAGGAAGAAGAAGAAGAGGAAGAAGAAGAAAGACGACGGCGACGACTCCGGCACAAGCCAGTAAATGTGATCCCAGTGGTGATCAGCACACTAGGTGTAGTGCCTACAGACCTTGGCCTGCACTTAAAAACAGTCGGTGCTGACAAAATGACAAAACCTTTTTGCTGCAAAAGCCCAGCCTACTCAGATCTGCACAAATTATTCGCTGATACATCACACAGTCCTAGACACTTGGGAAGTGTCCGACGTGTGATCCAATACAACAGCCAGCAGAGTGATCTTGTCTGCTGTGGACTCATCTTGTTGTGTTTCTAATAATAATAACAACAACAACAACAACAACAACAAACAAGATGACGACTCTGGCACAAGCCAGTCAAGGAGGTCTCAGTGGTGATCTGCACACTAGGTGTAGTGCCTAAAGACCTTGGCCTGCACTTAAAAAGAATTGGCGCTGACAAAATTACCATCTGCCAGCTGCAGAAGGCCACCTTACTGGGATCTGCACGCATTATTTGCTGATACATCACACAATCCTAGACACTTGGGAAGTGTCCAACATGTGATCCAATACAACAACCAGCAGAAGGATATTGTTTGCTGTGGATTCATCTTGTTGTATTAATAATAATAATAATAATAATAATAATAATATAACAACAACAATTTTATTTTTGTGCCCTACCTCCATCTCCCTGAAGGGACTCGGAGCTGTTTACATGGAGACAAGCCCAACAACATAATTAAAATAGCACATTGAAATACAATAACAACATCATAAAACAATATAAAACAACCAGATATATAACACGGTATAAAAGCAACAAGCAACAACCAGTAGCCTGAAATAGTAACCGTTTCTCATTTACTTGGGGATTCTGGGAGTTGAGATCCTATGATGGTTATACTATCACAGAATTTGCTCAGTGTGTATGGAGGAGGAATAGGAAAACCAGGAATGCTGTCTTTCCTTTTTCTATAATAAGGAGACTTAGCCATTCGAAGCTGAAAGACAGGATTGCTGCCCTCCTCCCCCCCCACCCCATTGCCAATTCATTTCTAACAAGTGTTTGCAAATCAAGTTTGATTCCCCTGGGATTCAGAATTATGAATGCCATGGCATTTTACCAAGCTAATGCTCTTACAGATTCCAGTGTGCAGCGCAGAGGCAAAGCTCTCCTCTCGCCTTTGCAATCTCTGTCTGGAGGGCAGACATGAAAAGGCACATCTGACCTGTACTTTCTGCGGCTACGTTGCCATTGAAGCTGGAGATAAAATAACTGCCCAAAGTGGAGGAGATTTCTGGCAGGCAAAGAGGGAGGGGAGGCTCATTAAAAGGCTTTGCACAAAGGCACCTTAGTCCTTTGGCACCATACTTGGGGGGGGGGGGGGCAAAAAAAAGCCCAGGATAGTCTTGGGATTTGCTTTGCACCTACAGATGCCATCGGGCTTGAAGTCTTGTGCCAATTAGGACTAAGGAGATGCAAATTCTCATCCAGACGCACCCAAGAAAGTCATTGGGTAAACATGGACCATTCACCACCTCTCAGCTTCACACGATTGAGTGGCATCCCTTTGAGAAGATGAGGCATAGATGTTAACATAATACATATTGAGAAAATTCCCTGCCCAGGGAGGTGCCGATCGGTGGACCAGTGTGAAACAGAATACTTAGGCAATCCCTTGTTGACCAAGTAAGATTGTCTTCCAAGATCGGTGTCCTGGCAGTGGGTACGTAGGTGATTGTGGAGCCCCATTCTTGACCTGCATGTTCTCCTGCAGTGAGGGCATCAGTTTCCAGACGGAAGGTGGTCCTGGTTTGGGTTGGCTTGACATACCATCCTTTTGGCACATTTCTCTCTTTCACCCTCCATTTGTGCCTCATCAAATTCTACAGCACTGCTCATCACAGCTGACCTCCAGCTAGAGTGCTCAAGGGCCAGGCAGGCCCGTAGCCAGGATTTCGTTTCGGGGGGGGGGGGCTGAATTTTTTTTCAGGGGGGGTTTTGGGGGGGGGGGCGGGGGGCTGAGTCTGAGTGAAAGAGGGTCTAGCCTAGCAAACCTTTTGTATCATTACCCCAATACCCCAATGCATATGGGATATATTGAGTATGGTGATCAGATCATGATATGAATAAACATAACAGTTTAAATAATGCACCAGTAAGGCCTTTTCGCGAACCACCATGAGAATTTCGGGGGGGGGCTGAAGCCCCCCGAGCCCCCCCCCCCCCTGGCTACATGCCTGTGGCGAGGGCTTCCCAATTCTCTGTGTCTATGCTGCAGTTTTTAAGGTTGGCTTTGAGATCCATTGTTCTTAAAAACTCTGGCATAGACACTGAGAACTGGGAAGCCCTGGCCCTTGACCACTCCAGCTGGAGGTCAGCTGTGACCAGCAGTGCTGCAGAATTCGAGGAGGCACGAGTGGAGGGTGAAAGAGAGAAACGTGCCAGGAGGAAGGCGCGTCAAGCCAACCCCGACCGGGACCGCCTTCCACCTGGAAACCAATGCCTTCACTGTGGGAGAAGATGCGGGTCAAGAATAGGGCTCCACAGCCACCTACAAACCCACAAAAATAGTCATCAAGGAAGACCATCTTACTCGTCCAACGAGGGATCGCCTAAGTAAGTAAGTAAAGTAAGTACGGCTGTACCAGGAGCTCCAAACTTATTTGCTTTGTATTAAATGTTTGCTTGCAGTCCAAGGTTTCAGGGACTCTGCAGATAGGTGGCTTCCTTTGGTTGCAGTTATAGGGCAAGTCAACTGTCCATCATCGTTAAGTTTTGGTTTTGCCCCTTGCTCAAGGCAATTGGGAAGGGAAGGGAGCCATTTTAGTTAGTCTCAGCAAGGAAAGCTAATGTACAGGATGTGTGCAAGCTTCCCCTGTACAAAAGCTTCAACCCTTAAGACTTTCCTGGGAAACAGTCTTAAGAGCATCCAAAGATTCCCAGGGAAACAGCCCTAAAGCTCTGAGGAATTTCGGAGGGAAAAACAGCTTTGAATATCAAAGAACTCCAGCTGAAGAGACTACAGGCCTTGCTGGTAGGTCCACTTGGTGCTTTGAGACGCAGTTCAACCCGGTAGTGGAGCCCACATCAGTTAGGTTTAGGTTCACAGTCAGCCTGGGAGAAGTTAGAAAGGGATTTTCCTTTAAAGTAAAGTAACAGTAAGAAGTTGCCTGTCCTTCGTGGGCAAGATTAGGAAGCCACTAGTTGCACAAAAGCCTGGAAGCATTTGTTTAACCTTTTGAAGACAAGAGAAGTTTCTGTTTGATTGTTCCTCAATAAAAGACTTTGTTATATTTCACAAGCCCCCTAAAGACTGTTTGTGGTGGAAAATTCCTAAGAGCTTCTCTTTGGGCCCCCTGGCTTCCCGCTGGGCCAAGATTGCACGTCCTGTTCTAAAGACAATTCTTTACAGGCCCAGCACATGACGGAACACCCATCTTTAAATCTCTTTTCCTGCCCACCAGCATTCTGTTTTCCATTCTTGAGCTCAGTGAAGAGCTACTGCTTTGGGAGAGAGTGATCAGGCATTCAGACAATGTGGCCAGTCCATCAGAGTTGATGGCGGAGAACCATCGCTTCAGTGCTGGTGGTCTTTGCTTCTTCCAGCACGCTGACTTTTGTCCGCCTGTCTTCCTAGGAAATTTGCAGGATTTTTCGGAGGCAACGCTGATGGAATCGTTCCAGGAGTTGCATGTGACGTCTGTAGATAGTTCATGTTTCACAGGCGTATAGCAGGATTGGGAGGACAGTAGCTTTATAAACAAGCACCTTGGTCTCTCTACAGATGGAGCGTCATACAGGGAGCATACCACCCCCTGTTATGTCAGCTCCACTGGCTGCCAATCCAGTTCCGAGCACAATTCAAAGTGCTGGTTTTGACCTACAAAACCCTATACGGTTCCGGCCCAGTGTATTTGTCCGAACGCATCTCCCTTTACATCCCATCTCGGAGTCTGAGATCCTCTGGGGAGGCCCTGCTCTCGACCCCGCCTCTGTCACAAGTGAGATTGGCGGGGACAAGGAGCAGGGCCTTCTCAGTGGTGGCCCCTCATCTATGGAATTCACTCCCCGGGGAGATCAGATCAGCAACATCCCTCCTTTCCTTCAGAAAGAAATTAAAAACATGGATGTGGGACCAGGCGTTTGGGCAATCTGGCAGATGAATAATAAGGGACTGTGACGGATAGGAATTGGACAAGGTGGAACGAAATATGAACTCTGAGTTGGCGAACGCTGTGTCTGAGATTGGCTATTGATTGTGTGATATATTGTTGTTTTAATTGTTTTTAATTGTTGACCATTTAATTGCTGGTTTTATATGTTATTGTATTTGTATAGGCACCAAGATGTGCCTTTTTGTAAGCCGCCCTGAGTCCCCCCTCGGGGGTTGAGAAGGGCGGGGTAGAAGTACACGAAATAATAATAATAATAAATAAGATGTCCCGGTCCTCAAACACCCTCTGCTTCATTCGGAAAAATGCTGAGCTCGCAAAGCTCAGGCGGTGTTGCATTTCGATGTCAGTGTTGACTTTTGTGTGGAGAGGTGGCTGCCAAAATAGTGGAAATGGGCAACATTTTCTAATGTTACACCATCAAGCTGTATTTCCAGCATTGGAGACAATAAAACAGAATATCTTGGGTGAAAGGCCATACATGCTGGTCAAGAGAGGGGCAAATCGATCTCATTTTACTGCCACCCTGGACTGCAAAAATAAGAGTCAATTGGATGGTTGGCTGAAGCCCTGACCGGGCATAACTCAAGGCTCATCGGCTAATTTCTCTTGATGGGCTGACCGTTACGCAGGCATGGCCTATGTCATTACTCTGGATTCCTAACCTTACAGATATTGACGCTTGCGAACAACCAAATATGGATCGTCTGATTAATAGCCTGAGCAAATTGCACATTAGATACATGAGCCTAATGGATCATTTTCCCATCTTTCTACTCCAGCGGTTGACAAGATGCTGCTGGCTTAAAGAAAGCCAGTGACCCGTTTTGATGGTCAGCATGCCACAATATATTTCCCAACCTTTCCTTCTGCTTCTTCTCTAGGCTCTGTTGTTCTTCTCTTATCAAACTGTGACATCTTCTAAAAGTTATGGAAATCTGGGTGCAGGAATTTTGTTCCCTATCCCATGAAGGTTCATTCTGTGTGCCTGTCCAGCAGAATCAGAGGAATAAAAGCATCAGCTTCACAATTTGCAACAATATAGCTTCGTAATTGTGGGTGTGATGAGCCCATCTTTCAATCTTTTTTCCTGCCCACCAAGATTCCGTTTTCCGTTCCTGAGTTCGGAGTAAAGCAACTGCTTTGGGAGATGGTGGTCGGGCATCCGGACAACGTGGCCGGTCCAGCGGAGTTGATGGCGGAGGACCATCGCTTTGATGCTGGTGGTCTTTGCTTCTTCCAGCATGCTGATGTTTGTCCACCTATCTTTCCAAGAGATTTGCAGGATTTTCCGGAGGCAGCGCTGATGGAATCGTTCCAGGAGTTGCATGTGACGTCTGTAGACAGTCCACGTCTCACAGACAGTCCACGTCTCTAGATGCAGGCGAAACGTCAGGAGAAATGCCTCTAGAACATGGACATATAGCCCGAAAAAAACCACAAGAACTTAGTGATTCCAGCCATGAAAGCCTTCGACAATACAATGAAACTTAAGCAACATACAGTCACTGAATTCTTGACAGCAGAAGGTTTCACCTCAACATCTTTAAACTTACTCGCCCAATGACGCACAGTACTCACATCAACACAATCACCATAAACAGCTTGCATTCTCTGATGAATCTCCTTTTTAGTGACACCTTCTGCTGTCAAGAATTCAATGACTACACATTGCTTAAGTCACATTGACCAACCATCTGTGCAGGGTTCCATACTTTGCACTTTAACAACACAACTGTTCAATGCTAAGGCTTCCCATCAAATTGGAACTGTAGAGGAGAGTCTACTGAACAAGCCAGTATCTGCCTCATACCAGTACTGCCATCTGTTGAGGAGTTACGAAGGTGGAGGCATTACTTTTCATTCAACCCTCATACATCCCTTTGGTGCTGGAAAGTAAAGGTTTCATGCAGCCAAAACATCCCATCCAATAGAAGTTTGTAAAATAAGCACATGAGAGAGAAAAGTCCTACCTTGGTCTACTTTCTGGTCTACTTATTTCCTCAGTTGCACAAAGTTTCTGTGCAAAACAACATTTGAAAATATAATACTGACCTTGCCGTCCAAATTGGTATGATCTCTTTTGCTGCCTTGAGATGTCTGTAAGACTTTCCCATCCCGGCTACATGTAAGCCAGATCTCAGTCTCACTGAATTCAGTCCAAGTTATTTCTCAGTCAACCCAAGACTGAATCAGGCTGCAAAACTTTAATCCTAAATACACATACTTGGGAATAAATGCCATTGAAATAAATGGAGCTCTACTTTCAAGAAAACCTGGATAAGATTTAGGCTATAGACTTGCAAGCACTCTTTGTGTTCTTGGAGTGCACAGGTGAGATGCGCCGCTAAGCTGGGAAATCAGAGCACTTAATCCTATTTGCTTTAATTTTTGTTGCATGTACCAAGGTTGATGAAGAAAGCCATATATTATTGGAAAGTTGAACTGTACTCCCCCACCCCAAAAAAAATCTAGAAGAGGAGAATGTAATGGCACTGACTTTCCTTAGTAAACAATAACATCTTAGATATTGGGTGGCTTTGAGTTTTCCAGGCTGTATGGCGACATTCCAGAAGCATTCTCTCCTGACATTTTGCCCCCATCTATGGCAGGTATCCTCAGAGGTTGAGAGATGTTGAAAACTAGGCAAGTGAAGTTTATATATCTGTGGAATAATGTCCAGGGTGGGAGAAAAAACTCTTGTCTGCCTGAGGCAAGTGTGAATGTTGCAAAAGGCCACCTTGTTCATATGTAGGTACAGTTAAGGTAAAGGTAAAGGTTTTCCCCTGACATTAAGTCGGTCATGTCCGACTCTGGGGTGTGGTGCTCATCTCCATTTCTAAGCTGAAGAGCTGGCGTTGTCTGTAGATGCCTCCTAGGTCATGTGGCCAGCATGACTGCATGGAGCGCCATTAGAATCATAGAATCATAGGATCAAAGAGTTGGAAGAGACCTCATGGGCCATCCAGTCCAACCCCCTGCCAAGAAGCAGGAAAATTGCATTCAAAGCACTCCCGACAGATGGCCATCCAGCCTCTGTTTAAAAGCCTCCAAAGAAGGAGCCTCCACCAAACTCTGGGGCAGAGAGTTCCACTGCTGAACAGCTCTCACAGTCAGGAAGTTCTTCCTCATGTTCAGATGGAATCTCCTTTCTTGTAGTTTGAAGCCATTGTTTCACGTCCTAGTCTCCAGGGAAGCAGAAACCAAGCTTGCTCCCTCCTCCCTGTGGCTTCCTCTCACATATTTATACATGGCTATCATATCTCCTCTCAGCCTTCTCTTCTTCAGGCTAAACATGCCCAGTTCCTAAGCCGCTCCTCATAGGGCTTGTTCTCCAGACCCTTGATCATTTTAGTCGCCCTCCTCTGGACACATTCCAGCTTGTCAATATCTCTCTTGAATTGTCGTGCCCAGAATTGGACACAATATTCCAGGTGTGGTCTAACCAAAGCGGAATAGAACATGGGTAGCATGACTTCCCTAGATCTTAAATCATGTTATTGTTGGGGGTCACCACAGCATGAGGAATTGTATTAAGGGGTCGCGGCATTAGGAAGGTTGAGAAACACTGTCCTAGATATTCTCTGTAAAAACGTGTATCAAAATGACTTCTTTGGTGGGATTACATTAACAAGAGAGTAACCAAATCCCTGTGACAAACACCCTTACTGCTAATAAAGACCTTTGCAACAGGAAAGACGATTATCTGAAAATGGTGGTTCTCTCCCTGTCTTCATGCAGAGCCAAAGCAGGGCTTTTGCCTGCGCTCATTCTGTCGCCGTTTGTCCCCAGGAAAAAGCATTGCCAACGTGGAGGAATCTGTCACTCTGGATAATGGGGGGTTTACGGCCCTGGAGCTCAACAGCCGACACCTCAATGTCAAAAACACTTTCTCCAAGAAGAATGGGACAAGGTAAGGCACGGCTGGTTGGGAACGCCGCCGCCTTCAGCGTTTGGTGGCCGGCCAAATCCAGAGTGATTGCAGAGCGGCTGTGGGAGGGGAGGGTACTCTTGGCACACAAGCCATACATTTGATATGCCTATTCATTCCAGTTCCAAACTCATCCCAGGGTGGGCACTAAGAGCATGTCACAATGCATTTGAGAATTCGGTTTCAAATAAGTGAGAAGCAAATGCCTCTTAAGTCAAGCATAGTCCCACCAGACCCCAAAGTATGTCCTTCCTAGGCATCTAGAACACACGCCTTTGAGAAGTGGTGAGATCACTAATGCCAAACAGAAAATACTACGTACTTGCCTTACCTTGGCGCATATAAACTTCAGGTTGTTGCAGCAAAGAAATATTGTGCAAATGTTAAATATGTTAATGCTAAAACTTGCAGAGGAACTCAATCCATTTGAGCAGCAGAAAACTAATCCGTTTGGAGAAGTTTAGTCTCCCCTTTTTAGCATAACATTGGCAGAGTTATTTATTTGTCGTGTCAGGGCAACCAGTCAAATTATATTACATTTCTAACAGAACAAAGCAAACAAACAGACAAAATACAAAATTTGTGAGTTTGGTAGTTGATTACATGTCCTTTGACCAAGCGCTCGTTGTGGTATGCGCATGAACTACTAGTGTCTACAACAAAACGGACCTTACTTAAAAAATACCCCTTGTGTACAGACAGACACAGTGGCAATTTAACATTCCAGCTTTCCGGCTTCCTGAGGGTATGCTTGATTCCGCCACCGGAGCATCTGTCGCTTTACCATCCACTTGTGACACCGAGTCATTTGATGGGGTACTTCCTCATTCTTTTGCACACTGCTGGAGATCTTTATGGCAGCATAAATTAGTTAAATTATCCTCCCCGCATAAAGTGGCACCTAAATTTCCTACTTGACAGATGCAATTGTCTCTCAGGCTGCATAAGTCAACAACAAGCTAGACTATTAATGGTCGGGAGCTCACCCTGACCCGGGCTGGCTTCAAACTCATGATCTCTCGGTCAGTAGTGATTTAATGCAGCTGGCTACTAACTAGCTGCGCCACAGCCCGGATAGCTTTCTCCAGCTTGAGTGTGAGCCTAAGAAGTTCAAGCAATGTGGCATGCAGTCTACATGCTGGAAGGGATGACAGTCACTTTTCTAATTTATTTATTTATTTATTTGCAGCATTTATATTCCACCCTTCTCACCTCGCAGGGGACTCAGGGCGGATTACAGTGTACACATATATGGCAAACATTCTATGCCAATTTTGACATACAACATATACAGACATAGACAGAGGCTATTTAACTTTTTTCTGGCTGCCAGGGGAGCTGTCACTTTCTGCGACACTGATGAAGTGCTTCCGCATTCCCCGCATGCTTTTTGCTGGAGTGCTTTGCTGGAGTCTTTTTTATGGCCTCATAAATTAGTTAATTTAGCCTCCCCACACTTTAAGGTAGTACCTAATTTTCCTAGTTGACAGATGCAACTGTCTTTCTGGTTGCAAAGGTCGACAACAGGCTACACAATTGCCACACAAAGGAACTTCTTCCAAGATGACTATGGGGAGCAAAAGGGAAGCACCTCTCTTTTATAATCTTTTGACTTCAGAGGACTTCCTACTTGACTTGCAGCATGACCACTTTCTGGAAGATACCCAAAGCCCCATGTAATTGAGGGTACCCTAAAAGTGACAGGAAAAGAAGTGAGGTAACACAGAAACATGGAGACAAGACCATTTCAATGTGCATGCAAGATGGTTAGTTTCCCAACAGCAAATGCCCCTGCCTTCTCCTTCTAGCCCATTTACTCACTCCAGCGCCAGCTTAAAATCGATTGCTCTAGAAATGACCAGATCTTTGCATTCAACAAGTAATTCTGGATACCTGAATGTGGCTCCCAGTCCTGCCATAGTTACCCACTCCCTTGTAAACCTCACTCCCTGCACAGCTCAGCAGTTTACTCAGAATTGGTAAGCCAGCATAAACAGAACACATATTTTAGTAACTCTTATTATCCCTATCCTCTCTGTATTGCTGCACACTCCTTTTTTGTGATTAGAAGTTGATCTGTACACACATAGCAGTCCAAACTTTGGGGAAAATAGCATTACAGATGAATGATGTATGTATAGTAATGTGTGATTTATAAGGTTGGAGGACATTTTGGAGTGGTTTGAAATGAAGCAAGACATTGGTTTGCACCAATTTGTCCAGGAATTCTTTAGCCATGTCCTGTCATGGATATACATTTCTTATTGATCCCCTGTTTAGGCCAGTATCTGTAATTCATATTCAGCTGACATGCCAAATGTGTGGCTATTCCTTACTGGCTACCAGTCACACTAAACCCTACCTGGAAGAATGACTATTCTGCTTAGCACAACTTGGTTCATAGCAATGTACTCCGCTGAATCTTTGTGAATGCTACATTGATGGAGGTGAGATTCAGATTATCAAAAGTTGAAACTATATATATAAAACAACCCATAAGCCACAAAATCCCACACAGGTTTTTTTCTAGACAGATGGAGAGTGATACCTGTGTTCTCTCTGAGGCAAGGAGAGAAAATAATGCACTGGATGTCTTTTGGTGTCCCTAGATCTCCCCCTCGCCCCAGCCCTGGGGGCTTGAACTATTCAGACGAGGATCTCTGTAACAAGTACAACGGAGCAGTGCTCACCGAGAGCGTCGCCCTCAACGAGAAACCTCTGGATGCTTCAGAATCAGAAGTGAGTTCAAAACTCTTTGGTTAAGAGAACCATGCTGGAATGGAACAGCAGGTGGTTGGCTGTGGTTGCTAATCTATATGCAAGTTTCATCAATACGAAAAGAGGAAGGGGTATAACTAGACAGTAGGGTGTGATGCCAGTGTGGGCTGAGTCAAGCAAGAGGAAGAGGTGGCTGGCAAGATGGAGACAGCGGTATTTTGCTTCCATCTGTCTACCTGGGTGAAGGACATGAAGTAAATCCTGATGTTGTAGGTTTTTTTCGGGCTATATGGCCATGGTCTAGAGGCATTCTCTCCTGACGTTTCACCTGCATCTATGGCAAGCATCCTCAAGGTGCAGTTGAAACATTCACACCTAGCTCCAGCAGATAAGAGTCCTTTGTCCCACCCTGGTCATTCCACAGATATATAAACCCTTTTTCCTAGTTCCAACAGACCTCACTACCTCTGAGGATGCTTGCCATAGATGCAGGCGAAACGTCAGGAGAGAATGCCTCTAGACAGGGGTAGGGAACCTTTGGCCCTCCAGCTGTGGTGGACTTCAACTCCCACAATTCCTTGAGGCTCAGCATTGGGCCAAGGTAAGCCTTTGGGAGCCTCAAGGAATTGTGGGAGTTGAAGTCCACCACAGCTGGAGGGCCAAAGGTTCCCTACCCCTGCTCTAGACCATGACCATATAGCCCGAAAAAACCTACAACAACCCAGTGATTCCGGCCATGAAAGCCTTCGACATTACATTAAATCCTGATGGTTATTCGCAACAGAAGTTGTCCAGGTCTGCTCTCCCACTACCCCACGGCCTTGTTTCTGTGGGTCATCTCTTGACACAGTGGAGCTGGATCCCAGTTCTGTCCTTGAGAGAGGAGAGCTGGGTTTAAAGAAAGGGCTTGAGAAACCTGGCTTCCTGAGATCCTTTCCCCTTCAGTCTGTAGAGGAGACCTGGGTTTAAAGAAAGAGCTTAAGATACAACTCTTCCTGTGAAGGACATGGTCAAACTGCTTTGAGTCACCTTCAATCATAGAATCAAAGAGTTGGAAGAGACCTCATAGGCCATCCAGTCCACTCCCCTGCCAAAAAGCAGGAATATTGCATTCAAATCACCCCTGACAGATGGCCATCCAGCCTCTGTTTAAAAGCTTCCAAAGAAGGAGCCTCCACCACACTCCGGGGCAGAGAGTTCCACTGCTGAACGGCTCTCACAGTCAGAAAGTTCTTCCTCATGTTCAGATGGAATCTCCTTTCTTGTAGTTTGAAGCCATTGTTTCGTGTCCTAGTCTCCAGGGAAGCAGAAAACAAGCTTGCTCCTTCCTCCCTGTGACTTCCTCTCACATATTTATACATGGCTATCATATCTCCTCTCAGCCTTCTCTTCTTCAGGCTAAACATGCCCAGCTCCTTAAGCCGCTCCTCATAGGGCTTGTTCTCCAGACCCTTGATCATTTTAGTCGCCTTCCTCTGGACACATTCCAGCTTGTCAATATCTCTCTTGAATTATGGTGCCCAGAATTGGACACAATATTCCAGGTGTGGTCTAACCAAAGCGGAATAGAGCATGGGGAGCATGACTTCCCTAGATCTAGACACTAGGCTCCTATTGATGCAGGCCAAAATCCCATTGGCTTATTTTTGCCGCCACATCACATTGTTGGCTCATGTTTAACTTGAATTATGGTGCCCAGAATTGGACACAATACTCCAGGTGTGGTCTAACCAAAGTAGAATGGAGTCTGAGAAAGGCGGTATGTAAATATGGTAAACAAACAAACAAACAAACAAACAAATAAATAAGATAAAGTCTCTACCAGTTCTTGTAAGCCAAATCAGGTAGCAAATGAGTGAGCATCAGATACCCTTCCTGATAATACTGTACTCCAATACAACTGTGGACCAAAAACAGCTATTTGGCTACTTGCCCGTTTTCGAGAGGCGCACAAAAATAGATCTGGGGTGTCCCAAAATTCAGCCAGAAGAAATGGATCGAGGTTCAGCCAAAATTCTCAAGCCTACCAGTTTCTTCCCAACTCTTAACTCCAGCTCTACTTTGATTCCACTCAGAAAAGAAAGAAAAAAAGCTACTTCGAACAGATTGCACAGACACGGCTTGGAACTAGGGATTAAGAACATGGTTTACCAGTCGTTTCATTTTTAAACAGGCATTTTCTCTGGGGTCGTTCAAAGCTCCAGGCCCTTGTGGAGCCATGTAAATGGTCCACTCCTGGGGTTTCTCCTCTCGGATTGTTTCTGATACCTCCCTCCCCTTTCCATCCCATTAGAGCCTTGCATTAATACAGCAAATTACGCAAGGTCTTTCTTGTTGCCAAGCGAGGCAGCTTCACCGCCGTCTCCTTCCCACTCTTGACTTCAATCCACTTTCCTGTGCAATACCGCATTATCTTGAAAGCCTCAGGTTGTCAAGTCTGGGCGACCCCCTTCCCTCCAGACACAATGCCCATGTTTATCTCGGAATCTGAAATGCCACGGTGTGAAAAGCAAATATAATCAATCAAAGGGAATGTCAGAGACATGTTGATTAGGTACCGCCCGCCTAGATCTCCCCTGTTATAACATTTTTGGCCTGTAGCTCTCGGAAAGAAAGCTTTGACAGTTCAGGACAGCAACCGTTCCCCGTGACTCTGTCTCAATGGAGATTTCATCAGAAAGGAACAACAGGCCACAGGACGGCTCAGATTTAATACAAGCGCCGTGGTTTTCCTAATTATTCTCTTAATATTACAAAAGGCAGTAGAGCTGCACTTGTTTATTAACCATCATCCTTCACTCCTGGACTTACTGGATTTATTTTAAGCACAGCCTCAGCCCCGATTTTGATATATCTCCTCAAGCATTGCACATCATTGAGAGTATATTTATATGCCCTCCAACTGTCCTGAATTGGGAGAGACCGTTTTGATTAATCCTTTTGTCATCCCACTTTTTTCAGCTCTTTTCAGGTGTACTATTTATTTATGTATCACTAGCCATCCCCTGCCACGTGTTGCTGTGGCCCACATGGGGGTTCTGTGTGGGAGGTTTGGCCCAATTCTATCGTTGGTGGGGTTCAGAATGCTCTGTGATGGTAGGTGAACTATAAATCCCAGCAACTACAACTCCCAAATGTCAAGATTCTATTTTCCCCAAACTCCACCAGTGTTCACATTTGGGCATATTGAGTCTTCGTGTAGAGTTTGGTCCAGATCCATCATTGTTTGAGTCCACAGTGATCTATGGATGTAGGTGAACTACAACTCGAAAACCAAAGGACACTGCCCATCAAACCCTTCCAGTATGGAAGAACTGTGTGCCAAGTTTGGTTCAATTCCATCATTAGTGGGGTTCAGAATGCTCTGTGATTGTCAGTGAACTATAAATCCCAGCAACTACAACTCCCAAATGTCAATATTCTATTTTCCCCAAACTCCATCAGTGTCCACATTTGGGCTTATTGAGTCTTCGTGTAGAGTTTGGTCAAGATCCATCATTGTTTGAGTCCACAGTGATCTATGGATGTAGGTGAACTACAACTCGAAAACCAAAGGACACTGCCCATCAAACCCTTCCAGTATGGAAGAACTGTGTGCCAAGTTTGGTTCAATTCCATCATTGGTGGGGTTCAGAATGCTCTGTGATTGTCAGTGAACTATAAATCCCAGCAACTACAACTCCCAAATGTCAATATTCTATTTTCCCCAAACTCCATCAGTGTCCACATTTGGGCATTTTGAGTCTTCGTGTAGAGTTTGGTCAAGATCCATCATTGTTTGAGTCCACAGTGATCTATGGATGTAGGTGAACTACAACTCGAAAACCAAAGGACACTGCCCATCAAACCCTTCCAGTATGGAAGAACTGTGTGCCAAGTTTGGTTCAATTCCATCATTGGTGGGGTTCAGAATGCTCTGTGATTGTCAGTGAACTATAAATCCCAGCAACTACAACTCCCAAATGTCAATATTCTATTTTCCCCAAACTCCACCAGTGTTCACATTTGGGCATATTGAGTCTTCGTGTAGAGTTTGGTCCAGATCCATCATTGTTTGAGTCCACAGTGATCTTGGATGTAGGTGAACTACAGCTTCAAAACCAAAGGACACTGCCCACCAAACCCTTCCACATGTGTGGGAGGTTTGGCCCAATTCTATTGTTGGTGGGGTTCAGAATGCTCTGTGATTGTAGGTGAACTCTAAATCCCAGCAACTACAACTCCCAAATGTCAAGATTCTATTTTCCCCAAACTCCACCAGTGTCCACATTTGGGCTTATTGAGTCTTCGTGTAGAGTTTGGTCAAGATCCATCATTGTTTGAGTCCACAGTGATCTATGGATGTAGGTGAACTACAACTCCAAAACCAAAGGACACTGCCCATCAAACCCTTCCAGTATGGAAGAACTGTGTGCCAAGTTTGGTTCAATTCCATCGTTGGTGGGGTTCAGAATGCTCTTTGATTGTAGGTGAACTATAAATCCCAGCAACTACAACTCCCAAATGTCAATATTCTATTTTCCCCAAACTCCATCAGTGTCCACATTTGGGCTTATTGAGTCTTCGTGTAGAGTTTGGTCAAGATCCATCATTGTTTGAGTCCACAGTGATCTATGGATGTAGGTGAACTACAACTCCAAAACCAAAGGACACTGCCCATCAAACCCTTCCAGTATTTTCTGTTGGTCATGGGAGAACTGTGTGCCAAGTTTGGTTCAATTCCATCATTGGTGGGGTTCAGAATGCTCTTTGATTGTAGGTGAACTATAAATCCCAGCAACTACAACTCCCAAATGCAAAATCAATTTTTTTTGCAAGAAGGACATACATTGGGTTGTTAGGTGTCTTGTGTCCAAATTTGGTGTGAATTCGTCCAGTGGTTATTAAGTTATGTTAATCCCACAAACGAACATTACATTTTTATATAGATGTCAGAAGTGAATTGGGTACGGTTATAATATATTTAAAAATACAAAGTTAGAAACTTGGCATGATGCTAAATGTGCTTTGACCAGAAGCTG